AGATGTACAAACCTTCTTTACATTTATCATGACTGCTTAACCTTTGTTTATTCCTAAAAAGTTTAGAAGTGACAAATTCCATTTTATGTCATATGACGAAAAAAATGCAATAAAAAAGTTTGATATACAGCGCCTTAAATCTGAATTTTCTTACAATAAGAAAAGATAATTTTCTTTCTTCATTATAAAAAAACCTTGAGGAAAAAAAAAAACAAGCGTACATAAATGGCGCGTCAGTTTATGCTTTAAAATAAGACTTGATATATCAGATGTATAAAACATGATTTAGTTATATGTTTCAAAATTTATGCAGAATTTGGTTTGGAAAGGTAAAAGGTTGTTTTTTGAATTGATATTGCTATGCAACTCTTCCTGTACTTCTGTATCTCCTAATGAGGGTGCAGCTCTAAAACTCAGTTTAATGAAACTGAGGCCAGCTGGTAGTAAAGTTTCCCAAATTCTGTGGTAGCTCTCAGAGTGGCTGATTTTATCAACAACTGCAGAATATCAGAATATTTAACTGTCATATTGTGTTAAACAATGATAGTGTCCCTGTTAATGCTTTTTGTTCACATTGTTAAGGCCACATATAAAGCCCTATGTTACGACTTTTAAATAACAGAACTTAGACAACGGCATGGCTCATTGCTTAGGATGCTGTCTCTATTCATGAATGAGTCAAGTCCTCATTCATGGATAGCACCACCTAACTGTTTTAATATATTTTATACAAATATTCATGGTCTGCGAAGCAACCTTTCATCAGTTAAATTTACCTCATGCAAAATTCACTAGACTTCACTATTCCTTCTTCAGATCTCATTTACCTCATGCAAAATTCACTAGACTTCACTATTCCTTCTTCAGATCTCAGTGTTGAAGGGTACTATTCAAAAAGACTCATATAGTCACATACTTGGCTTCGGGGTATACATATGCATCAATTCACCTATTTGTTGTAAAATCAGGTTGGAATCTTTGACTAATTTTTGAAGTGTTTTTGCTTAGTATCTCTTAACTTTATCACCTTATTCTTTATTCTTTATTGTTCTCCTTCTTCTTAAATTTCTTTTCTGAACAAATTGACCATACCCTCTCTCTTTATCCCTCTGCCAATATTGTTGTTATTAATGACTTTGATGCCCGTCACACTGAACGATGTTGACTTTACGGCACTTTTTCTTTTCTCAATTTCTTACTCGGATAGTTAATTTTGTTAGACATTTGTTAGTTAAATCACTTCAGCTTTCTATGCTAAAGTCATATGTCAATTAAACTCTTCTTTGGATTGTGGTCCAGACAACCATCCTGTCATAGTTTTACAAAATTGCTCTCCAAAACTCTCTTCAGGAGTTATAGCATAGTTGATGTAGCAACACTCTGCTAAACATGCTGCTACATTGACTATTTTAGAGCCTGCTGCTACTTTGTAGTAGCAGGCTCTAAGATAGTCAATGTAGCATTCCCTGTATCAGATAATGCTATCTTGACTAAGATAGTCAAGATAGCATTCCCTGTATCAGCAGGTTGTAGGATAGTCAATGTTGCAACACACCATACATATAGTAGTAGTGTAGTGGTAGAGCGCTTGCCTCATAAGTAAGAAGTTTCAAGTTTGATGTATGTATGTATGTATGTATGTATGTATGTATGTATGTATGTATGTATGTATGTATGTATGTATGTATGTATGTATGTATGTATGTATGTATGTATGTATGTATGTATGTATGTATGTATGTATGTATGTATGTGTATGTATGTATGTATGTATGTATGTATGTATGTATGTATGTATGTATGTATGTATGTATGTATGTATGTATGTATGTATGTATGTATGTATGTACCTTAGACTTCATTTTTACAATGAAAAAAAAAAGAATAAATATTTCAACTTAAATTACTGTTTAACAGTTTATAATGTAAGTTTCACATACATATATACTTAAATACATACATACATTTATACATACATACATACATACATACATACATACATACATACATACATACGTAAGTTTCACATACATATATACTTAAATACATACATACATTTATACATACATACATACATACATACATACATACATACATACATCATAAATAAGGTAATGGCAAGCATGATAAAACAATTTTAGTAGATGCTAACTTTTCTATGGATTTTGTATTTCCATTAGAGGTCAGTAATGAAATAAAGAAGTATGTATGTATGTATGTATGTATGTATGTATGTATGTATGTATGTATAAATGTATGTATGTATTTAAGTATATATGTATGTGAAACTTACATTATAAACTGTTAAACAGTAATTTAAGTTGAAATATTTATTCTTTTTTTTTTCATTGTAAAAATGAAGTCTAAGGTACTAAGTAAAAGTATTTAATAATTAAAATAACTAAAATAATTTCTAATTAAAAAATTAAAACTTAATTTAATTTAATGTGAGTTGCTATTCATAACAATTAGTGTTTTATTGAATCTTTACATCAACAATTAGTGTTCTGTTGACTCCTTACATCAACAATTAGTGTTCTAGTGACTCTTTACATCAACAATTAGTGTTCTATTGACTATTTACATCAACAATTAGTGTTCTATTGACTCTTTACATCAACAATTAGTGTTCTTTTGACTCTTTACATCAACAATTAGTGTTCTGTTGACTCTTTACATCAACAATTAGTGTTCTATTGACACTTTACATCAACAATTAGTGTTCTATTGACTCTTTACATCATCAATAAGTTTTACATGACTTTTGCATTTTTTAAAAAATAATTAGAATTTAACAATTAACTAAATAATATATTAAAATAAAATTTTTTTCAAGACAAATGGCATCATTAAATGAAAGTGCCTAATTATGACAACATTATTTAATACAAGAATATATTAGAGATAGAGAAAAGAATCATAAATAAGGTAATGGCAAGCATGATAAAACAATTTTAGTAGATGCTAACTTTTCTATGGATTTTGTATTTCCATTAGAGGTCAGTAATGAAATAAAGAAGTAGAAGACTAATAAAATAATGAGAATTATTTCTTTTTAATAATTGAAATTATCACAATCACATATCTTGTTTTAAAAAACTTTCACATGTGCTTATGAGATTGTGCTCCTATATGTTCTGGAAACCAACAAGTTTTTTTTATGTTTCTTTTTAAAGTGTATTTTGTGATTTTGGAAAACTGAGTTCTACAATATTTTTCAATCTTTCTTTGTATTCTTTCTGCTATTCATTTCTTTATTTATGTTGTTTTATAGGTGCTTCGTTTTATGACAGATGCCCATTTATGAACTTTTGAAATACTTTTTGTTAATATTTACTTTTTTTTTTTTTTTGTATGTATTTAGGTGCTCCCAGAAGTCCTTACGGTCTTATCATAGAGCACTGCGGGAGAGCATTCAACAGGAATTTCACACCTCCTTCCATACCAATGTCGCTTCTTGGGCTAGAGCTGGCCTTTTATTTCTCTTCAACCAATTTTCCAACCTTGCCTAGACTAATGCTCTATATTTGTTGTTTGTTGGGAATTGATATAAAGCGCACAGCACTGCGCACACGGCTGCTCACACTGCGCCACAGCTGCTCTATACTTTGAAATGTTATATTATTTTGTTGATTTTTAATTTTATATTTTAGCACTTTAAATATAGAATCTTGACAATCAATTTTCTTTTATTTCTTTTCAACCAATTTTTCAACCTTGCCCAACTAATGCTCTATATTTGTTGTTTGTTTTATTATTAATTTATTAAAATTATATATAAATATGTAATAACGTAATTTATGTAAGTTTAAAGTTATGTAAATGTAAAAAGTTATTTAATCTAAATTATTTAATATGACGTTTTAAAAAAAACTTTTTCATTAATATATGATGTTAAATTTACATATATTAGATAATTACATATTTATATATAACTTTAATAAATTTGCGATACGACAATTGCATCCCAAGCCGACAATATAGACTTAGGCTCTATACTTGTTGTTTGTTGGAAATTGATAAAATGTTTAATACAGCTGACTTCAACCATAATCATTAATACAGTTGACTCTTGATATCTTAAATTTTCAGGGGACCATAAAAAAAGTTTCAGATATAGAGAGGATTTTGAGTCAAACAAGTATGGAAAGGGACAGGAAATAAAGTTTGAACACAAAAGTTATAGATATTGAGTAGTCGAGATATCAAGAGTCAGCTGTAAGTGAATTAATAAACTTGAACTTAAATGATATTGAAACTTTAGAAAAGTCCTATATATAATTTTGTATTCAAACAAAAAACTAAAATGAATAAAAACAACATATGCATCAGGATTATTTAACTACCATCCACTTCAAAAACTTTAAGAATTAAAAACAATAACTTTTAACTGTTTTTAAATGTAAAACACTGTGTAATGCAAATATCTTGTAACTACAATAGTATAAACAGTTTTGTTTTGCAATTGTTTTGTCTGTTGCTAAGTTTTTTGAATTTTTATATAATTATTATATGAAATTTTTTCTAAGATGTTTTTTTACCAAAAAACCATATTTTATTTTAATCTTATGTTTTAAACAATCTTAATATATTTTCATTAAATGATGTGATGGAACTAATATAAATAATTGGATCTGATTTAAATTTTTATATATAAAGATAAAAAATTTATATATAAAGATAAAAAAGCTAAATGAGATCCAATGATTTATAAAACAAAAGACTTAATATTAATAATATTATTCTGTCTGCTTATATGAAGTGCAAAAATGCACAATATTATTAACACCAAAAAAAACAAAAAAACATTAAAATTTTACAGTGAATTCGTTTTTTTTTTACTCATATTTTTCACATTTTGAATTTAAATTCTTCAAAGAATTTTAAATTGTCACATATCATTGAGGTAAGAAATTTGTTTAACATTTAGAAATCATTATAAGTCAATTCTTGCTCATTTTTTAAAGCAATATTTGAATATTATTATTTGTATTTTATAGGAAAAATATTTGATATTATTGAAAAAAACAAACAGTTTAACTAAGAAGGTAAAAAAAAAAGATCTATCAATAAAGAAATTTAAAAAAATGCAGGCGAAAGATTCTTATGAAAATGAAAACTTGTATGTTTTTTTAATTTTCTTACATTTTTGTTACATGTATAAAAAATTATATATTTTTTTTCATTTTTTGTCACATGTATAAAAAAGTTTTTTTTTTTTTAAATAATTATAAAAAATGTTGTTTACAGATTACATGGCTTATCTTTACAACTTAAAGAAAACATTAGCCTAAAAGGTATTAGTTGATTTACCTAAAAGTTTTATTAAGCCTTGTTTGTTTAAGTTTATTAAAATCTAATTGTTTAAATTATGATTAATATTGCAAGTTATTAAAAGTTTTTTTTTATTTATATATAGTTAAACTGCATGGTTTAGTTTGTTTGTTGTTGTTAGACATATTTTTTTTTAATATCTTCACCTCCAACAAGGCTGCAAGCAACCACTATTAGAGTTGGAATTACTGGAAGAGAAAAGATGAAGTTTAAAGAGCAAAATAAGGATTCACAGATGACTTAAAAGATTGCAAATTATTTGAAGCAAGAAAACAAGATGAGGGGAAAGAAGTCCAAATGACTGATGTTAGTTTAGACAGCAAGTTTTTGGCATTCTTTTAAAATACAGACTTTGATGGAATTTTGAAAACCTCATGTTATTTAAAGTTAGATAAACCTTTTTATATCAGAAAGGTGTTTGTACAAGCTTATAAGACTGCTCTTCCAAACGTTTCAAAATTGTGCTCTTCATTGTAATGCAAAAAGATGAATCAGCTGTAAGAAGAGTTGCATCCTGTTGGAAATAGGCATCAGCTGCTGATTTGACTGGTTCAAGAGCTGCAATATTGTCTGTAAAATGTTGACTTTATCGTCACTGCAAATCAAATGTGGAGAAAGGTCTTTCAATACTTTTCTAATTAAACCTTTAAATTTAAAAAACTGTTTAATCATTGACAATAGACTGTTCCATCTTGTTCTGCAGTTAAGGATAAGCAAAACCTCTATTATGTGCTGTATCTTGATTTCTTTTCGAAAGATTTCATTTTGACTGAAAATTTTTAAAATAACTTGACAATTTTTCTGACTTTTGTGATCACAGGTTGCCAGTGTACTTTCATTTGGGAATGTTTTCATCCATCACCAACAAAACTCACTATCAGATTCATTCATGACATCACCTAGAAAACTGACTATCAGATTCATCCATTGCTGTATATCAACTATAATTCTTTGCACCATTGCGATTAGTTTTTTTTTTAACTTTTTTTCTCTTTTTTTTCATGATTTTCTTTTCTTTTCTAATTTAAGAATTTTTTGCCTGAACCCATAAAATGGGTCATTGTAGGTCTTTTCACACATGACTTTTATTATAATAGGTCCAATAGTTTAGTGTTTAATTGTAACTTAAATGTTTCATCATTTTAAATAAATGATTTATTCAAGATTCATTTGAATCTTGAATTAAAATTCCTTTTAATAAATGTAGTCACTGTTGTAATTATAATATTTGTTTTCATCATCTTTGTTTTCCAAGTTTGGAAAGACAGTGTGCTCATCATCTACAATTTCATCAACTTCCAAGTGACTGGCGTCTTTTTTATAAAGAACTAATATAACTACCAGTTGTAGAATGTGTGCAAAGCATAGTTGTTGATGTATTTTTAGAATTCTTGTACATTCACATTCATATATTTGAAGGAAAATTTAGAGCCGTTTGAAGTTTAATTATTTGCTTTATATTCTTTTTTTAATTTGCTCATATTAATCTAACACCATTTTCTGATAGTATTGTGTGATTTTATAATATTTTTTATCAATAAAATTACAAATTGTATTAAACGATATAACATTGCTTGCTGCTAAACATGCAAATATTTCAGGTTTTTTTCTTTTTTCAATTTTGATGAAAAATAGTTTGTGATTTTCTTATTTTAATTTTTTTATTTAAATAGAATATAAGGAAACTTATATTTTCTTTTGGGTAAAAAAATCTAAAAACCAAATGTTTCTACTGCAGAAGAATCAGACATTAAACAAGACAAATTAAATAAGATTGTATTTGAACACCTAAGGATTGAACTGAATGGTGTGGTGATCCACTGCCAAGTGCACAAATAAGATCTTGACACATTTAACAAGGAGTTAAAAAATTTAAGATCTTGTTTTTGCACTTGGCTTCAACAATAAACAATCTGTTTTCACCAAACTAGCTATTTAATTCAATCATGAGTCAAGAGATTTGTGACATCATATTATTAGAAGCAAATTAAAAAAAGAAAAAGAAATGCATTTTACAATCGCCTGATACAAATGGTTTCTAATACTTTTACCACCACAAAAAAATTCATTTAATGAACTTGGTCTGCTGCTATAGTGCATAGAAACAAAAATCTTAATGATATGTGAAAAGTTAATGTTCTTCCTCTTTATATATAGTTCGGGATAAACTAGGTATTGGTGCCTTGTCAAACATAAACCTTCAGTTAATGTATCTTTTTTTTTATTTTAATTTTTTTATTCACCTCCCCAAGGCCGAGAAGGCCACTACAGATGAGGAGACTAGTTGTGGTTATAACCCTCTCTCAACTCTATAACTCCGAAACACGAACCTTGACAAACAAGGCCGCTGGGCGGAGAAACAAGTTGAGCGCGGTACTACCAGGAACGTGGTGGAAATCAAACTTGGAACCTCAAGCTTATGAAGTGAGCGACTACACCACTACCGCATGGTATCTACACTTGACTAAAGTTATTTCAATTTCAATTAAATTGACTTTAGTAGATAAATTTATAACTCAGCTGCGTTTAAGGCTTATAAAGTTGCAATAGAACAAATAGTGACATCCACAACACTACACTAACTTATTAATAATGAAGTAATTTAAGTTACGTTTTTATCAAAAATTTAATATCTTCAGAGGTTATTTGCCTGTTAAGGCACTGCTAATTTGTACGCACTTAAGCACTTATTCTGTAAAACTTTGAAAAGTATAAACAATAAACAAATAAAACTGTTAATAAACAACAATAATAATTGAAAAACACATAGAGCTTCTTTAAAATAAAATATCAAAATCAAAAAAAAAAAGGAGAGTTAAACTTGATACCTAGTCATCCATTCTTCCTAACTAAAACATTTAATCATCCACTCCTTCTAACTAGAACATTATATCATCCACCCATACTAACTAGAAAATTTAATCATCCACTCCTAACAAGAAAATTTAATCATCCACAGCACTACTTCAATACTACTTTAATAATATTAAAAATTTACATTTTTTTTTTTTACTATAAATAATATTTTTACTGAAGAATTATTTGTAAAAATAATAACTTTCAAAGTAATACTAGTTAATAACAATTAAAATTTTCACATTGAAATTTGTTAATTAGTTAACTGAAAGCAGATAAAAAATTTAAAGTAATATTTTTATGGTGTTTAAAGTCAAAAATTGTGTAACATATATTATGGACGCCTCATGACTGGACACATGCACTGTTGTCGTTTAGAATTTTATTCTTTAATATTTGAGTTTTAAAAAGAAATTTTGAAAATAATTTTAAAAGAAAATTTGAAAAGCTGTTAAAAAGTAAAGCGCTAACTTTTACTCAGAGTACATTTTTAATAAGTTACTTTTTATTTTTACTTAAGTGAATTTTTTTGATCGGTAACGCTTCCTTGTACTTTATTAAAATTTCACACAAGTAACAGTACCTTTTACTTGAGTACAAAATTTAGTTATTTTTTCCACTTCTGTTTTGACAACAATAATACCTGTGCAGAAATTTTGAAAGCAGATAAATCTGCACGAATGTAAGACACCTGGACAATTTTAAATAGAAGTTATAAATCATATAAACCATGATGAACAATTATTTACATATATAACAATTATTTTCAGAGCTAATTATAAGTTCCCACAGTATCTAAACTGCCTAAATATGGAATCAAAGTATTCTGGGCTTGTGATGCATCAAATACTTACCCACTTCAAGGTCAGCTTTACACTGGAAAACCAACACACAGTCCCCACTATGTAAATGTTGGTCAGCAAACAGTTTTTATTAACTTGTTCAGTTTGTATAAAGGCTTTAAAAGAAATGATATGTAATAATTTTGTGTTGGGATCTTGGGATCTTGGCTTTTATTTGTGACAAAAAATCAATATCAAATAAAACAAGTAATAAATATAAAAATGAATAAAAACAACTTCCTAATTTTTCTTTATGTTGTCATTTAAGTTTGTTCTTTTCTTTAAAATTACATATTATTATTAAAAAAAATATTTTTTGGATCATTTTCATACAAAAATATATAAGTACAATTATATATTCATTTCCATACAAAAATATATAAAGTACTTTATACATTTTTGTATGGAAGTACAAGTATTTGTTCATAAATTACAGTAATTACCTTAAGGTTTTATTATTCTACTTTATGTCTTTCAAAAAGTAAATAGAGTTTACAAAATCCAAAAATTTCTTTTAAATTCTAGGACTACATTAGTTTATTACAGATTTTTCCAACGTTTATCAACCCCGTATAGAGATAAAATGTAAGAATAATAAAAGATATAAATATTAGATCTTGGTATCTAAGGATTGCCTTTCCTAGTATTTTTTTGTATTAATTTAAAAAAATAGCTTAGTTAACAAGTTATTTGTATATGATAATAAAAAACAGCTTCCAAGAAATTTTGATTTTTTATAGATTATCTAGCTGGACAGTGTAAAGAGTATGAAATTCAAGTTGAAATTTCAAAAATGGATTTATCAAAGAAAAACAAAGAAAATATATTTTTTCAGTTGACCATATCTCAATTACAGAAACAACTTAGCGTAGAGTTTTTTAAATTTGAATATACTTGGAAACTGTAAAAAAATAGTTAATTGCATAATCTTATATAATATTATACAATATATACAGCCCTCGGAGTTAGAAAATATAAGGTTGGCAATATTTTGCCAACTTCATCTTTAATAGGTCAGCATCTGGTTGGCAAAAAAAAAAGTAATGCAAAGATTTTACCATTAAACATAGAAACAAGGTTTCTATGTTTAATGGTAAACACTAATTTCAAACAATTTAAGGTTGGCTGTTGGGTCGGCATTGCCAAATGCAGACCCTAATCCAGAGGGCTGTATATATATATATATATATATATATATATATATATATATATATATATATACATATATATATATATATATATATATATATATATATATATATATATATATATATATATATATATATATATATATATATATATATATATATATATATATATATATATATATATATATATATATATATATATATATATATATATATATAAATTAGTAGAAAATCACTTTACAAAATTTTTTTTTTATTCAACACTGAGTTTTATTAATAAAGACTCATCAGAAATGAATGATCAAATTAATAAAACTTCAAATTATACCAAAAAATTAACTACTGTAATTTTTCACACATTTGTGGATTTTGCTGACACTATAAAAAAAATTCTTTAGAAATGATTACTTATGCTTTTTTTAAAAATATTTTTTAAAAAGGGGATTTAATTTAACTATTATTTGAGCTCACTTATTTTTATAATTTTTAAATAACTTTAAAGAAACTTAATTTTGTACTACATTTTGAAATCAATTCCGATTTTTTATTTAATAAACATTCTTGATTTGCATGTGTAATTATTTAAAATTTTTCTTGTAGATATAGTATGCATTTTTTGGAAATATTATTATATGCAGGTGCTGTTTTGAGGATGGACCAATTCAGTGTAAAATCATCAATATTTCTATATTTTAATTCCCATATATATATATGAGAATTAAAAGATAGACAGCTTGGTGTTTTTTGAATATTTTTTATTTTTGCAATAATTCATCATTTGGTTTTTTGAAAGGCTTATATAAATTTTCAGAAAAGTTAAACGTTACCATCAAGAAATATCACAATTTTTAAATTTATGTTTATTTTGATTTGAAAGCTAATATTTAAAAAAATTTTTATAATATCTTTTCTAATTTTATTGAGCTGTGGATCAGATTTTTTACACATTACTATTAGGCCATTGTTGCAATAAAGGCCTAAATTTATATTGATTATTTTATTTAATAAAAATTTATTAAATCTGAAGTCCGAAAAATTCATAAATTTCTTCCCCATCTTAAATGCCCATTGTTACGTCAAATGTATGGTTTTCTTTTTCCATGTTTCCTTATTAAAATCAAGTAAGGTTTTTCTACAATATTTTATTACACAAATTGTTTCTTCAAGAATAACTGTGTGGCTTTTCGCAAATTCAATTGTTTTATCTAAAATATCTGCAATTATTGAGAGGTAAAAATCATTAATGTCAAATTGAATAAATGTACAGTCATTTTTATTTTCGATTATGGAGAACCAATTTATAACATCAGTGGTATTTTTCCACTGTTGCAAGTTTAATTTATTTCTAAGAACATAATTAATTGTGTGTAATTTAATTTTAAAAGGTGGGTTTATGAAGTGTTTAAAAGGTCACAACAATGCTTTGTTAAACAAAAAAGAAATCATAAATGAAAAAACTACAGAAAATTGTAATTGTACACAAAAAAATAATTGTCCAATGAGTGGAAGTTGTTTATCAAAAAATGTGGTATATAAATGTGTTGTTTTCTCTAAGAATGTATCTGATATATAATATATTTGCATAACAGAAGGTAAATGGAAAAAACGTTTTGCTAATCATAAGCAATCTTTTAAAAATAAATAGTATTCAAAAGACACCATTCTGTCAAAATATATATGGGAATCAAAAAATAGAAATATTGATGGTTTTATATGAATTGGTCCATCCTCAAAACACCACCTATATATAACAATATTTCCAAAAAATGCATACTATGTCTACAAGAAAATTTTGAAATTATTACAGATGCAAACCAAGACTGGTTTCAAAATGCAGGCACGAAAATAAGTCTCTCCTAAAAACTATAAAAATAAGTGAGCTCAATTAATAGTTAAATTAAATCCCCTTTTTAAAAAATATTTTTAAAAAAAGTATAAGTAATCATTTCTAAAGAATTCTTTTTATAATAGTGTCAGCAAATTCCACAAATGTGTGAAAAATTACAGTAGTTCTAATATTCTAATTCCCGAAAATTTTTTATAGAAGAAGAATAAACAAATTTATTATTTGAGTAATAAATAGTTATTTTGTAAAAACTTAATATTTATTACTATTTCACATTCACTAACCAAAAAATTGAAAGTTATTGTAAAAATGCAAAAAATTTTTGTAAGCTTGACAGCTTTTATTTTAAGAAAAAATAAAGATAAATTTCAAATTTTATTCTTGCGAACAAAAATATGAATTTTCTTCTTGCAAACAATATAGTTTGATTTTAAAATTTAGTTCCCAGGTACCAGGGATGAATGTACTTTCACCCAATGCTAACCATTTTCTCAGGTCAAACCATCAGAGTTTTTGACTCAAAATGCACAACGGTGATAGTATTTCACATTTCTGGAACATTTCAAGCCATTTCCATTTTTGTTTTATTTTTAATAGCTTAAAGAGCGTCAAATGTCATGACAGTCACTTTCGCGGAAGATTATTTTTTCAATAGTTAATGCTCTTAAGATAAGAGAAAAAAATGTATAACATCTGTTATTTGAAAAAACTTAAAAACTTCTAAAATTTCAATTGTGCAGAAAAAAAAAATGCATGTTGTTTTTCATACCACATAACTTGTTACTCCATTTTACATCAAATATTACTAAAAAATTGTTTTAATTAGCCAAAGTATTTACTTAAAGTGCACCATAGTACTTAAAGAGTTGAGTGACCACTCGGTAGTAGCATAAATATATATATATATATATATATATATATATATATATATATATATATATATATATATATATATATATATATATATATATATATATATATATATATATATATATATATATATATATATATATATGTATATATATATATATATATATATATATATATATATATATATATATATATATATATATATATTGTTTGTTTATTTTTATATTGTTTGTTTACTATCCCTGCAATATTTTTATATCTCATCTCAAATTTGTTTTACTTTTAAACAGGTAAGCTTTTTTATGCAATAAATGTCTGTTTATTATTTTTATACTGCATCATCATTGTCAGGTGCAAGTGATGTTACATCACTTTGGTGCTTGACTAGCTTTGCCTATCAGTCTAGCTTTTGCCTAGACTGCAGCACATTTTGAATTAATGCATTCATAAATAGTACCAGTTATTAATTACTAAAATTTTTATAATAAAGGTCATAGTTTTGAAGATCACTTTTAAATACTGAATGGTTTCAAAAATGTATTCATTTTTTATGTTATGTAATTTAGCGTAAAAAATGTTTTAAAATACTGTACATTTTAAAAGTGTAGCTTTTTTTTTTTATTTTATTTTAATTCACCTCCTCAAGGCCGAGAAGGCCACTACAGATGAGAATGGAGACGTAACATAACGTAAAAGATGTTATAAGGATTAAATAAAGATATTATACATCACTTAGATGCAAATTGAAATATAATATATATTTTGTCACAAAGTAACCAATGAAAACGAAACTTCTGTACATTAAATATAAAATAAATTATGTTTTGAGAAAAAATTTTTGTATATTAAAGATAAAATAAATAAATTTATCACGATTTATTTTATCTTTATTATACATATAAAAAAAGTTCAAAATTTTTAAAACAATGGTCAAGCTTATATATTAAAATTGCCCCTTACGAATATTTTTTTAAACAACTCAGAATATTGAAAGAATTGTCTAAATTTAGGCTCGTATCTGCCTACTGTGCTTATTTCCTCAGCCATTTTTTGCAGTTGTGAGGACAACTGCACCTACAGTGCAGTTGTCCTCACAACCTCCATAATTAATAAAGCTAAATCCAACCTGCAATTCTTTCAAATCTCCTAAAAGCAGCTGGTATTGATTTCATGATGCAACCAACTATGGTATCCTTCCGATTAAGGAACATCTGGATGTATGCATCAGTACACTTAAACAAAAATTGAGCATTCAAAAACTTTTAATCACTTTAAGTCTACACCAGAACAATTATTCATATTCCACTTTTGACTAGCAAAATCTACAATATATTTAAACACATACCTACAAAAATTTATCTGCCACCTACGTAATGACGCTCATAAATTCTGTGCTAATTCTACTCTATATGTTACCTGAAAACACTCAGTCATTCTCAATACATCCCATCAATATATTATACTATTAGTTTTTGTAAATTCCAATCAATATTTATTTTAGTAAAAGATTTAAAAGAAAATGATATATTTCAATTTGCAACTAAGTGAATCATAGTATTTTCAATTAATCCCTATAACATCGCTTACATTATGTTACCTCTCAGTTGGTTACAATTTTAAAGTATATATAGTATTGTATAACATTTTTTAGTATACATTTATTTAGTATACATTATTTAGTATACATTATTTAGTATACATTATTTAGTATACATTTATTTATACATAGTATATATTATATATATACTATGTATATATTATACATATATATATTATACATAGTATATATTATACATATATATATATTATACATATATATATTATACATAGTATATATTATACATATATATATATATATATAGTATACATTATTTAGTATACATTATTTAGTATACATTTATTTAGTATACATTATTTAGTATACATTTATTTAGTATACATATATTTAGTATTTTATTGTATAACATTTTTTAGGTTACATTATGTAACATAAAAAGTTACTCCACTTTTGAATCCATTTTGTATTTAAATGTGGTCTTTAAAATTTTGTGTGTTATCACAAAAATATCAGTTAAATATCAATAATTATTAAATGATATCAATTTTGATTATGTTGATTCAAAATGTATTGTAGTCAAGACCTAGTGGGGGCAACAAAATGTACTGTAGTCAAGACCTAGTGGGGGCAACAAAGATAAGTGTTGTATCATTATCTGCACCTTGCATTACATGTTGTTGGATAACATTTTTTTTACCAAAAACATCAGTTCAACTTAAAATTGATATTTTTCGTCTTTATTAAATTTGCTTGATTACTTTTATTTATATTTGCTTGATATTGACAAGACAAAACCTTTGCTTTTTGTTTTTCATTTGTATGAAATTTTTTAAAAAATTTAATAATATGCACCAGAATGGATGACAACTGGGATCTAAAGTGGATAAATATTTAAAAAAAAAATTAGCCAATTTATAGTAACGCTTTCGAGTAAAGTTTAAAGTCTACGTAGTTTTTCTAAGTGCTAATAAAAGAGTAATAAATTTTATAAAAAAGAAAGGTATGTTTCTCCAAATATGAGACCTGACAAAAACAAAATTGTAAAATTCATGCTTGGGCATAATACGCTGATAAAATCATATAAATTTGAAAATTAGGAATTCTTATAATTTATAAATCACCTTAAAAAGAAATTTACAAGTAATTCAAATTCTTAAACTTCAAATTCGTATGATTTTACTTACTCAGTTTAACTACTTACATTAGTTAACTACATTGAGTGGTAATGTTTATTTATTATATATTAATTACAGGTATTATCTTATTCCGGATATTTCCGGAAATCCGGATAGTTTTTTCACCTTTTAGTTTTTCCAGATCTCCAAAACATTTTCCATACACACGTTTAAGTATATATATTTGTAATATATTTGTTTTTTAAGCTTTTTCACTCATAACACAGAAAAAATATAAAAAGTTTAAAAAAAACAAAACAAAAACAACTTAGCTAAAAGCAAAATTAAAAAGAAAATAAGGAAAAACACGTTACGGATTTTTCCGGATATCCAAACAATTTTCCGGAATTTAAAAATATGACTTGGATATGTAGTTATAATTGTTTATTTATTTATTTTTACTTATTTATTATTTGTTTCTTTATTATTTGTTTGTTTATTGTTGTTTTGCTTATTTGTTTTTGTTTAGTTATTTATGTTTACTTTTTTATGTTTCTTTAATTTTTTTTAAATTCAAAGCTATTTAATTAGCTGCTAAACAAAATTGAATCAGCTGAACAAATCGAAGTTTTTTTTTAATGTATTATTTATCAAAAGAAGGTGGAAGATAGTTGTGAGGAAGAGTGAGGGTGGAAGTCAAACTCTTGATCTATAAAAATATTTAAATCTAAATTGATTAGTAAACTTGATAACTTTACTTGTTGACTTGCATGTTTTGCTTATTAAAAGCCTTAAAATTTTTTTTTATGTTTTCAATATTAATTATAGTTTTAAAAATTCATTTGTTATCAATGCTAAAACAAGTTTTTTAA